TTTAATATTTCAGAAAAAAATTGTTAAAAAATACTCTGCACCTAATCATGACATCGGAGTTTTGTAACTTCATAAGCACATACAAACATGGTTCCAGACATTCTTATGTTTTACAATATGTGGAGGAAACTCATTTTGTTCTTTGGCACTTTAGTTTCTACCTTTACTGTCTTACAAGAAATGAAAAGCAATTTTCTAATGGGCTTACTGGTAATTTGCTATCAATGAATAAAATAGGCCAGGTGCGGTGGCTCATGCCTGTAGTCCCAGCACTTTGCGAGGCCGAGGTCAGAAGATTGAGGCCATCTTGGCTAACACGGTGAAATCCCGTCTCTACTAAAAATACAATATATATATATATATATATATATTAGCCAGGAGTGATGGCAGGCACCTGTAGTCCCATCTATTCGGGAGGCTGAGGCAGGAGAATGGTGTGAACCTGGGAGGCGGAACTTGCAGTGAGCCGAGTCTGCGCCACTGCACTCCAGCCAGGGGAACAGAGGGAGACTCCAACCCCCCCCCCAAAAAAAAAAAAGAAAAAAAGAATAAAATAATGTCAGTTGTATACATAGGATTTGGCCTTCCTATGAAATTAAAGCACTCTATCAGATTGCTACACCTCCTAATTCTGATTTTTACATATCACTGCTGTCTAAATTTTAGAAAACAGATGACTTGAGAAAATCTAGCTCTAGTTTTGCAAATTATTTACTCACTAAATTCTACGGCACTGGTTTTCAATTGTGCATTTCTCCTCTAGTTCTAATGGAAAGGGAGAAAAAAGTCAGCATTTAGGAGATTTTCCCTCTCATTTGAACATTAGTTGACAGTTATGCTATCTATGCTTTCATCTGCCCAATATATATTTACTTCTTATATTTACCTGTAGACAAGGTACTGTGCTGGAGATTAGGGACACTGCTATAAAAAGCAATTAAAAATTCTCTCTTCTAAGTACCAAGAATATGCAACAAATAATCATCAAGATAGAGTAAAAAGTGATGGTTTATTTTTTAGAAGAGTAAAGATAAATTTTTACTTTACTTCACAAGAATAACAACAAACTTTAATCTTAATCTCTTTACAACATAGTATTGGAAGTTCTGGCCAGGGCAATCAGGCAAGAGAAAGAAATAAAGGGTATTCACATAGGAAGAAAGGAAGTCAAATTGTCCCTGTTTGCAGATGACATGATTGTATATTTAGAAAACCCCATCATCTCAGCCCAAAATCTCCTTACGCTTATAAGCAACTTCAGCAAAGTCTCAGGATACAAAATCAATGTGCAAAAATCACAAGCATTCCTATACACCAATAACAAATGGGGAGCCAAATCATGAGTGAACTCCCATTCATAATTGCTACAAAGAGAAAAAAATATCTAGAAATACAACTTAAAGGGATGTGAAGGACCTCTTCAAGAACTACAAACCACTGCTCAGGGAAATAAGAGAGGACACACACAAATGGAAAAACATTCCATGCTCATAAGAAGAATCAATATTGTGAAAACGGCCATACTGCCCAAAGTAATTATAGATTCAATGCTATTCCCATCAAGCTACCATGGACTTTCTTCACAGAATTGGAAAAAACTAATTTAAATTTCATATGGAATCAAAAAAGAGCCTGCATAGCCAAGGCAATCCTAAGCAAAAGGGACAAAGCTGGAGGCATCGTGCTACCTGACATCAAACTATAATACAAAGCTACAGTAATCAAAACAGCATGGTACTGGTACCAAAACAGATATATACACCAATGGAACAGAACAGAGGCCTCAGAAACAATACCACACATCTACAAAGATCTGATCTTTGACAAACCTGACAAAAACAAGCAATGGGGAAAGGATTCCCTATTTAATAAATGTTGTTGGGAAAACTGGCTAGCCATATGCAGAAAACTGAAACTGGACCCCTTCCTTACACCTTCTACAAAAATTAACTCAAAATGGATTAAAGATTTAAACGTCAGACCTAAAACCATAAAAACCCTAGAAGAAAACCTAGGCAATACCATTCAGGACACAGGCATGGACAAAGACTTCATGACTAAAACACCAAAAGCAATGGCAACAAAAGCCAAAAATGACAAATGGGATCTAATTAAACTAAAGAGCTTCTGCACAGCAAAAGAAATTACCATCAGAGTGAACAGGCAACCTACAGAATGGGAGAAAATTCTTGCAATCTACCCCTTTGACAAAGGGCTAATATCCAGAATCTACAAAGAACTTAAACAAATTTACAAGAAAAAAACAACCCCATCAAAAAGTGGACAAAGGATATGAACAGACATTTCTCAAAAGAAGTCATTTACGCAGCCGACGAATATATGAAAAAATGCTCATCATCACTGGTCATTAGAGAAATGCAAATCCAAACCACAATGAGATACCATCTCATGCCAGTTAGAATGGCAATCATTGAAAAGTCAGGAAACAACAGATGCTGGAGAGGATGTGAAGAAATAGGAACACTTTTACACTGTTGGTGGAAGTGTAAATTAGTTCAACCATAGTGGAAGGCAGTGTGGTGATTCCTCAAGGATCTAGCAATAGAAACACCATTTGACCCAGCATCCCATTACTGGCTATATACCCAAAGGATTATAAATCATTCTGCTATAAAGGCACGTGTGCACATATGTTTTTTGTGCCACTGTTTACAATAGCAAAGACTTTGAACCAACCCAAATGGCTATCAATGATAGACTGGATAATGAAAATGTGGCACATACACACCATGGAATACAATGCAGCCATAAAAAAGTATGAGTTCATGTCCTTTGCAGGGACATGGATGAAGCTGGAAACCATCATTCTCTGCAAAGCAACACAAGAAAAGAAAACCAAACACCGCATGTTCTCACTCATAAGTTGGAGTTGAACAATGAGAACACATGGACACAGGGAAGGGAACATCACACAACAGGGCCTGTGGCAGTGGGCGGTGGAGGGGAGGGGAAGGGATAGCATTAGGATAAATATCTAATGTAGATGACAGGTTGATGGGTGCAGTAAACCACCATGGCGCATGTATACCTATGTAACAAACCTGCATGTTCTGCACATGTACCCCAGAACCTAAAGTGTATATATATATATAAAAGATTAAAGTTTGAGAAGAGTCCATGTAAGTAGCTGGGAAGCTAGTACAGCAGCTGTACTAGGATTCTAGTGGTGATGGAAAAGAAGTGAAAAGATTGAAAGCAAATTCAAATTATTTTTCAGATCATTTCCTCCTTAAGAAGTTGTTAATTCACTTCTGCCTATTTTCTGAGATGGTTTCTTTTAATTTCTATGAGGTATTTCCTATTAAAGGCATTAGTCCTTTGTCATATTTGCTGCATATTTTTTTTTCTAGTTGGTTGTCCTTTTTCTTTTCTTTGGTATGTTATTCAATTTTTTAATGTAGATAAATCTATAACTATCTTTCCTTTTGTGGTTTTTTCCCCCACTAATTTTAAATTATAATATCCTCCATCATCTCCACTTTTTTTCTGATCTTTTTATCCCCTTCACATTAGAACACACTAGACTTCAGTGATGGATGTGTATAGTTCCTGCTTTCATAAATTCATTTAATTACCTAGTAAACATATGTGTTACACGTGACAGACACATAAACACAGGAAGACAGAAACAGTTACATAAGTGTTTCCAGAGGAGAAAGCAATCTGGCTGCACAAAGAATAGACACCTAACCCAGACCGAGGTGAGTTAATGAAGGTTTCCTAAAGGTCAAATTTTAACTGTTTTGAAGAAGAACAGAAGTTAGCTAAGTGGAAAAACAGTCTTAAATGGCTTATCCCCTGTCATTTCCATCATCAAAGTCATTACAAAATTTGATATGAAGCTCCCTGGGGTTGAAATCCCAAGGACTTACTCCGATCTTTCATACATCACAGGTAACCTAATGGAAAATAGCCCACCAAATGCTTTCTGGCAGAAAGCATAAGCTTAATGTATGTTTATGAGTAAATAGTAACTGCCTGCAGCTTCCCTCTTCAGCATATCTTGTACTCCACTTTCAACTGAAATCCAGACTCGTGAATCTGGCAGTAGGGAATATATTTCAGTTTTATTTCCTTCTTCATCTCACAAGTTCCCATCAGTGAAGTTACCTATCCCTATATTACCCACGGTTTCTTCTGCTACTAACCCTTTCCTGCTTATACCAGTTCCTCTGCCTGGAATGACTTCTTCCCCTTTCCTGAATCACTGACTAAGTGATTCCTGGGGAAGATCCTTAAAGACCAAGTACAAATATTACCCACTTCATTTTCCCTCCTTGTTACTAGAAAATATGAAATATCTCTTACATTACTATGTGTACTCTAAACAGTGACCTGCTCATACACGGGATAAAGAATTTCCTTTCTGTATGTCACTGTGAGTTCCTTACTCGATCCTTACGTTTCCAGCTTACTTTAAGACTTCGGATGACATTACTTTGTTGAATAGAAGCAGAAACCAGAGGCGGGTAAGTGGTAGGAATAGTATTTTGTTGACCTTAGCACATTAGGGAAGAGACGGTGGTGAGAACAAATGTCTGATGAGAATGGACTGAAGAAGCAGAAAAAAGAATTGGGGATAGCAAGTATGAACAGTTCTTTATTGAAGTTCCGCTGTAAATCGAAGCAAAGGAGTAAGACACTAACTGGAAGAGGAAACGAAGTACTGAGCATACAGTCTCATTCAAGATCAGCAATTTCTTAGAAGCTACAGCTCTTAATTTCTCTCTTTCATTTTCGACAGGCAATAAGGCGCAGGTAATGTGTACTGAAAGTTTAAGGGTCAGGCACTTGCAAATACTTCACGTATCTCAGTTAATCTCACAACCCTGGGACGAACTATCTTGAGTTCCGCTTTACAGACGAAAATATTGAATATCCAGGCTAAAGGGTCTTCCCAAAGTCCCATACACATAAATTCGTGGGGCCTGACACATGTCTGTCACTTTAGTCACCTAGAGACCGAAAAGGGAAATTACCGGTTGCCAAACTCCAAGTTGTGGGAAACTCCCCTGGGCCCACCACGAAAGTTCCTCCAGCCGCACCCTCTTTGCCCGCCTCCGACCACGCGTCTCAAAAGACCTGGTTTTGAGGACCCTCAATGTCAGCCCCATAGGTTCCTCGGCGCTCACCTCGTTATTGAGGTTCAGAGTTCCCGGCTGAGCCATGATAGATTACGGAATATGATCCGCCGCTGCCTGCACGTGAACTGAGTCTCCCAGACTGCGGCTGCGTCGCCACGCCCCTCAACGGAAGCCTCTTCTGTCCACAATTCATCCGCCGTCTGCTCTAGCTGCCGCCTGGGAAAAGGAAACGTTGACGCTTGGAGGGGAAAACCGGAACTGATATAGAGCAACGTCCGGCGCAAAGGGCGACGCAACGGAATTGCGCGTTCCTATGGAAACCAGAGGCGGGCTGGTAGCGGTGGAACGCACAGGTTTTCAAGATGTGGGGGGGTGTGTGTGTATGTGTGTGTGTGTGTCCCCTTAGTACACTGTATGTGTGTGTCCCCTTAGTACACTGCGCCCGCATTGTACCGGCCTTGGTTTTTCTCTCGTAATGGCGAGGGGGGCGCTGAGCGGCTGTGAAAGAGCTCTTGTGAAATGGTCAAGCACTTGAATGAACGATTTTTTGCTTCCATTTTTTTAAATCTAGTGTTTGTGAATATTTTTTGCTTTTCTAACAAACACGCCTTTTTAAATCCTCACAGCTTTTTGTTCCAACCTCACATTATAGCTGAGGTGCGAACATTTTTTCCTGCACACTATAGAAGGGTTTAAATTTAAGGAATGAACGTTTGAAGAAAAACCAGGATACACATTTGGTACTGCCTGTGGGAATGGCTATTTAGAAATATTAGCCGGCGGGCATAGGACACGTAAGGGAATGTGTTTGAATTAGGTAATGTATAATTGTCAACACTTTCTAGTATTGACCATTAAAATGTGTCAAATGCTCATCCAAGACCTTTACATAAATTAGTTCAAAATCTCCACAGAAATCCAACAAGATAGATATTATTATTCTATTATAATTATTATTATTTTGTTAGAGACCTGGTCTGTCTGTCATCCAGGCTGGTGTGCAGTGGCACATTTATAGCTCACTGCAGCCTCAAACTCCTGGATGCAAGCCATCCTGTCACCTCAGCCTTCCAAATAGCTAGTACTACAGGAGTGAGCCACCCAACTCTGCTCTGAACTATTATTTTACAGATGTGTAAAGTGACTTCAGAGGCACCCAGTGCCTTGCCCAGAGTCACTTGCCTGGTACTGTCCACTGCTATAGGACTTCAAGTCCAGCTACATAATATGTGGGGTGCAGTGCAAAATGAAAATCCAGGCCCCTTCATTTAAAATACAGGAAAAACGTTTCTTCCAGCAGGGGACAGTGGCTCATGCCTGTAATCGCAGCACTTTGGGAGGCCGAGGTGGGCGGATCACCTGAGGTCGGGAATTGGAGACCAGCCTGACTAACATGGAGAAACTGAGAGGTGAAGCTAGCTGAGCTTCTGGGTCGGTTGAGGACTTGGAGAACTTTTCTGTCTAGCTAAAGGATTGTAAATGCACCAATCAGTGCTCTGGGTCTAGCCAAAGGTTTGTGAACACACCAGTCAGCACTCTGTCTAGCTAAAGGTTTGTAAACACACCAATCAGTGCTCTGTGTCTAGCTAATTGGGTGGGGACTTGGAGAACTTTTGTGTCTAGCTAAAGGATTGTAAACACACCAATCAGCCCTCTGTGTCTAGCTAATTGGGTGGGGACTTGGAGAACTTTTGTGTCTAGCTAAAGGATTGTAAATGCACCAGTCAGCACTCTGTGTCTAGCTAACGGATTGTAAACACCAATCAGCACTCTGTAAAATGGACCAATCAGCAGGATGTGGGTGGTGCCAAATAAGGGAATAAAAGCAGGCCACCCCAGCCACCAGTGGGGTAACCTGTTCTGGTGAAGCTTTGTTGTTTTGCTCTTCACAATAAATCTTGCTGCTGGTCACTCTTTGGGTCCGCACTGCCTTTATGAGCTGTTAACACTCACGGGGAAGGTCTGCAGCTTCACTCGTGAAAGCCAGCGAGACCACGAACCCACCGGGAGGAATGAACAACTCTGGATGTGCCACCTTTAAGAGCTGTAACACTCACTGCAAAGGTCTGTGGCTTCACTCCTGAAGTCAGCAAGACCACCAACCCACCAGAAGGAAGAAACTCTGGACACATCTGAACATCTGAAGAAACAAACTCCGGACACACCATCTTTAAGAACTGTAACACTCACTGCGAGGGTCCGCGGCTTCATTCTTGAAGTTGGTGAGACCAAGAACCCACCGGAAGGAACCAATTCCAGAAACAAAACCCCGTCTCTACTAAAAATGCAAAATTAACTGAGCGTGGTGACGCATGCTTGTGATCCCAGCTACTTGGGAGGCTGAGGCAGGATAATCACTTGAACTCGGGAGGCGGAGGTCCCAGTGAGCCAAGACCATTCCAGACTGGGCAACAAGAGTGAAACTTCGTCGCAAAACAAAACAAATAAAATAACCAGTTTCTTCTATAGTGTCTCTTGACTCTTCATGGTGTTTTAAAATTTATTATTTAATGAGATGCTCCCTAAAGCACAGAGACATTAGGTTGTTAGGGCAGACCCTCAAAGGTGCCTGAGACCCCTGCCCCAAGACTCAGGTAGGGGTGTATGCACTGGAACAAGGTGGCAGCAGTTGCTGGGTGGAGACAAGAGAGCAGGAAACCAGAGAGTCCACCTGGGGAGGCTGTGGGAGATAGGACCACACATGACCTGAGACAACAAGGCCTTGGCACATGTTCCATTATCCCGCTGGACTTCACTTACAAAACTCAAATTCCAAAATGAAATTACTAATAGTTTCAAGATGTTCCCAAAGCACAGTTAACCAAGGCCCACTTCTAAGCCTTTGCCCAAGAAACCGGCCTTGTCCAGACCCCATGCTGTTAACTCATAAAACTGAACTCCACTTAGAATAGCTCTGACTTGGTAAACGAAATAGGTATTCTTTTAGTTTGGTGCATTATTTGGACACAAATGGATTTAACAGCTGACTTCTTGTTTGACCAGTGTTACATGAAGGTAGTTTTGCCATTACTAAATCGTACACTGAATTGTAATTGTTTACTTTGTCTACTTTCTGTCATTAAAGCTGAACTCCTGCAGTGTAGGAGCTTTTTCATCTCCAGGTGAGTAGTGTACTTTGCATATAAATACATAGGAAGGAATGTCAAATAATCAAGAAAAATAGCTTTATGGAAAATCTGTCTTTAAATTTGGGAGAAAGGAGTTATGATCCCATAATGCTTCAGAAAATGTATTATTAATACAAAATTTTCCTGTAACTCTAAAAAGCTTTGCAGCCTTTTCTCTTGACCACTTCTTTTGATCCCTAAAATCTCAGTTCTTAAACCACCAGTCTCCTCAGGATCAGCACTTGCTTAGTTGTTTTCCTCCTTAGCCCATGCTGTCTCCATTAGCTATGAGGCTTCCTCTGCTGCATCTGCTTTCTCAAGTGCTACTTCTCAAGACCAGGTCAAATTCCATCCATCTCTTTTAAGAATTATTTCCACTGCCCCAGAGATAAGTTTAATTTTGCTCACCAGTGGGTCATATTTATAGTATTTATGATAGTCTACCAGTGGGGCATACTATACTATTTATGACAGTCTACTTTAATTTGAAATAATTTGTGTACTGGTTATTCTTTTATATTAAAAGCTCTCAACAACCTTAGATACTCTTGTTTTTAAAGAGATTAGTATTGTTCCATTTTCACAATATTAATGTGAAATCATTTGTTCCAGGTATATCACCTCCAACTCAATCTTCCTGCCTCTTTTTTGAGACTTCCTACAGTCTCAAAAATTATTTTGTTTGATAACAAAGGTAGTTCTACTAACTGGCTTTCATTAAGCAATGCCCAGTTTCTCCAGTAATAATAATGTATTTGTGTTAATTAGGTTGAAAGTTTCTCTAAGAAGCAAACTGTCTCACTGTTTTATTCATGGAGGGCTGACCTGGATCAATTCAATGCTGTCAGATGTATGAAATGACAAAGCTATTATAATTAAAAGTAACTAGTTTGAGACCTTTTTTTCTTTTTATTACAGTGTTCCAATTAGTGGAACTAAGGGTCCACAAACACATTCCATAGAGACTCAAGTTTTTCAATGTCAGGTTCCTCAAGAGTTTCTTAGATCCCACTGTGTTAGTCAGTTTGGGGTGCCAAAATAAAATACCACAATCTGGATAGCTTACACAACACAGATTTATTTAGGATGCTTGAAGTCCAAGATCAAAGTACCATCAGGATTAGTTTCTGGTACAAGTTCTCTTCTTTGCTTGCAAATAGCCACCTTTTTGTGGCCACAACCCCATGTGACCTTTCTGCTGTACACATGTGGAGAGAGAGCTCTCTGGTGTTTTCCTCTTCTTATAGTGGCACCAATCCTATTGGAGTCCTAGCATTATGGCCTTATTTAAACTTATTACATCCCTAAAGATTTTATCTCTGAATAGCATCATACTCAGGGTTAGGTCTTCAACATATGAATTTGAAGGGCGGGGGAAACAATTCAGTTCACAACACCCACTTTCCTTGAGAATTCTTCCATGACTACATCAAAGTAATCTCTTTCTTATCTAACAAGCTGGATTACTACCATTATTCTCATTTTGCACTTTTCTTAAGTTTTAGTCATACTATTATAGATTACAACTAACCATGGATGTTTAGCAAACAGAATAAAATTGAAAAGCTTACTCACACATGTATGAACACATGATTTTTGAGAGTTTCAAAGGCAATTCTGTGAGGAAAAGTTAGTTTTCTTAACAAATTGTGCCTGAATAATTGGATATCTATATGGAACACACACACGTGCACACACACCACTTTCACCCACATGTAACACCATCTAGAAAAACAACTCAAAATGGTTGAGTTTATATCCAAATGTAAAACCTATAGAACTTCAAGAAATCATAGGACAAAAACTTTGTACTGTAAGCAACTACATGCTAACAAATTGGAAAACTTAGAAGAAAGGATAAATTCCTAGACACATACAATGTACCAAGATTGAACCATGAAGAAATCCAAAACCTGAATAAACCAATAACAAATGATAAGATAGAAGCCTTAATAAAAAGTTTTCCAGCAAAGAAAAGCCTGGGGCTTGATGGCTTCACTGCTGAATTTTACTGTGCACTTAAAGAAGAACTAAGAACAGCCCTACTCAAATTATCCTGAAAAACAAAGAAGAGAATACTTCCAAAATCATTCTATGAAGCCAGTATTACCCTAATACCAAAGCTAAAGACACATCTAGAAAAGCAAACTACAGAATATCTCTATCAACATTGATGCAAAAATTCTTAACAAAACACTAGCAAACTGAATTCAACAACACATTAA